TTTAATTTTTTTTTAATTTCATTATTATAATTTGTAATTGATTTCTTTAACGTATTTAAATATATTTTTGTTTATATATAATAAATAAGAAAAATAAAACTCCAAACTTATCTGTAATTTAATGTTATTTTGATATAAAACTTATTCAATCATACAAAAATGGGAAAGTAAAAATAAAATCCTTTCAAATTATATAAATAACAATCTGATCTCTCAAAATGTCATAATTTTATTAAAGTTCCCAAAGACCTCTTTGTTAATAAATTTTAAATTGAAAAGACTATTTTACTCTTAATGACTAATTGTGATTTCTTGTTTAATTTTTGTGATTCTTTAAATAAAAGTTGTGAATCTTTAAATAAAAGTTGTGAATGGATTTGTTATTTAGAAAACTTGTTTCCCAATAATAAAATTACACTTGACAAATTATACTTTCTTGTTTAATTCTTGTAATTTACAGAACAAAAGTTGTGATTGGGGCTTATTTTTCAATAATAGAAATTACACTTGATAACTCTTGTTCAACTCCTGTGATTTACAAAACAAAAGTTATAATTTTTTAAACAAAAGTTGTGATGGGGGCTTGTGATTTATCCTATTTAACTTCTTTTTAATTTGAAATGTATTATTTAATTCCACAAAGTTTAATCTCGGAATTAAACATGTAGGGCCTTCCTCTCTAAATCAAAATGAATTATTTTATTTATTTTTTGAGTATTGAGAATATATCATTTATGTACGTTGTTATTAATTTCAGAGTTTTGTGTTTGTTTTCTTTACTTTTACAGGATATGTTGTGACATATGTAGTTTTTTTTACTATTCTGTTTTGTTTATATATCGTTGTCTATTATAATTTTTTTAATTCCTCTATTATAAGCTTTTAAAAAGTATTTTTTTAACAAAGTACTTATAATATACAATTCTTGGGAAAATATGGAAAAAAAATGAAAAAAGTACAACTATGAACAAATATGTATGTGAAGGAAAACTAATGTGCCAAAATATGTGATAATTGGGCTTGGAATATATGGGTTTACATTGAAATGCTATGATATAAAAGATTTGCTTTAAACAAATTTCAGAGAATCCAGCCTAAAAAATAGAAGATTTACTTTTAAAGAATTTAAGTTTTTTATATAGTAATTATTGATATAAGATTAAAAGTAATGACAAAAATAGCAAAGGGTCAGCTTATAAAAAAAATAAAAAAGTAAAGCGTCAATCTTTTTATGATATAATGGACATTATATTTGTTAGATTTATGTTAATTCTCATCACATCAAGCATTAATATATGTAAACACTACTATCACCATTTTGTTTTATTTTACTTTGCATATGAGATTTTTTTTTCCCAAAAAATAAGTGTTTCTCTACAAATGTAAATGTTAAAGTGAATTTGGCAACGTAAAACGTCATGGAAAAAATAAGAACAGAAACAAGAAAAGCCTATTTTAAACATATATTGCTAGAAACCTATATATTAGAGCTAGAAATTTAAAACAGATCCATGTATATAGACATGTCATGGATATAATTAAAGTTAATATCTTCCAAGCTCTTTTCTATATTTGTAAAAAAGAAAAGAAAAGAAAAATTGCCTTTGAAAAGAAAATGCAGTGGAAAAAATGAAAAATAAAAGGCAAGAGAGAAGAATTAGAATCCAAACATGTAGCACAATTTCACTCTAAACCCAAATGAATTAAATGATATATTTTATTTATTTGTTGATTATTGAGAATATCTCGTTACGTTAGTAATATGTACTATGTTATTTAATTTCATAGAGTTTTATGTTTGTTTTCTTTACTGTTATAGGATAGGTTGTGATACAGGTAGGTCAGTCTACCATTTTTTTTTTGTTTATTTTAATTTCAATGATTACAATCTAACTTGGTTTTTTTTTTTGGAGGAATAGTCGTAATTTTTGAGCCCACGATATGGTTGAGCAAGCTTTTTTTCTTCAGTTGAATTTAAAATTTTAATTCAATTCTTATAATATAATATGTAATTGATTTTCTATAGTTATTTATATATCTTTGTCTATTATTAAATTTTTAATTCATCTGTTATATGTTTTAAAGATAAAAATGTTTCAATGAAATAAGTATAGTTGATTTTGTTTCATATCAAAGAATATATGCAATTAAAATAATTTAAGTTAAATTTATTACTGTTATCTTTTCAGATATTTGGTGGATTAATTATTTTTGCCAAATTCCTATAGATTTCCTAAGATTTATTCGACTCGTTCAAGATATTAGATTCTAAGTACCTTCAATTAACTATGACAAAATATGTTTATTGATTGTATATGGACCTGAGGTATGAGGCAAGGATTAATGGACCAAAAGATGTGATTATTGGGCCTAGATATGTAGGCTTAATTTTATTTTAGGCCTAGGATATGTGGGCTCACATTAAAATGTTATGGTTAGAAGATTTACTTTTAAACAATTTAAGCTTTTTTTTACCGACATTATTGATGTAATATTAGAATTAATGATAATATGTAATGTCAATCTTGTTATGATATAACTGGAATTATATTTATTAAATTTATATTATTTCTCACATCAAGCAACATATGTAAATAATACTATAACCTTTTTATTTTATTTTACTATGTATATGATATTTTTTTAAAATTAAATATTTTTTATTTACACAAAATAAATATTTTTCTTGCAATACGAGTGATAAAGTACATACATATTTAAAATGCATTCGATGACATGAAATGTGATAGAAAAATTGAAAACAGAAATAGGACAAAGCCTTCCAAGTTGTTTTCTACAGGTATGTAGACATATCATGGATATAATTAAAGTTAATGCCTTCCAAATTGTTCTCTACATGTGTTAAAAAAACAAAAACAAAACTTGCCTGCAAAAAAAATGTAGGAAAAATAAAAAATATAAGGCAAGAGAAAGGCATCAAAATCCAAGTGGTCTTAATCATCAAAATTCAACATTCCTGAAAGTTTATTGCCACCTATAAGTAATAAAATCCTTTAAAATATAATGCTTTTAAAGATGTGTATTTACTTTTTGCATTTGAAAAAGTTTCCACAAGTAAAACTGATCTAAATTTTATTTAACCATTAGATGAGTATGTGTCATCAAAATATGTGTGTGTGTGAAAACAAAATGATCTCATTTCAAATTTATTTCTACCAAAGAGGGTGGGAAATTATTGTTGAAATCACTCCTAAAATTTTGTTCCCTACAACTTAACTTATAAAATACCTTACATTTTTTAATGGAGGAAGTATCTTTTTTTTTTTTAACTTTCTCTCCCATTCATTTAAACTTTTTATTTTTCTCTTTACTTGTCATTCTATATTTATTTAACTTCTTTTTCATTGTTTATCCTATTTAACTTCTTTTTAATTTGAAATGTATTATTTAATTCCACAAAGTATAATTTTGGAATTAAACATGTAGGGCTGTTCCTCTCTAAATCCAAATGAATTAAAACGATGTATTTTATTTATTTTCTGAGCATTGAGAATATATCGGTTATGTACTTTGTTATTAATTTCAGAGTTTTGGATTTGGGTTTGTTTTCTTTACTAGTACAGGATGGGTTGTGATATACTTAGGTTTTTTCTTTTTACCATTTTGTTTTGTTTATATATATTTGTCTATTATAAATTTTTCCATACCTTGTTATAAGTTTTAAAAAATAAAAAACTATTTTTTTTGAAATACTTATAATATAAAATTCTTGGGAAAATATGAAATAAATGGGAAAAAAACAAAAATATGAGCTAATCTATATGTGCGGGAAAAACTAATGTGCTAAAAGATGTGATAATTGGGGTTGGAATATGTGGACTTACAATGAAGTGCTATGGTTTAGAAGATTTGCTTTAAACAAATTCCAGAGAATCCAGCCCAAAAAAACAAATTTCATAGAAGATAGACTTACAAAAAAAAATAAGTTTTTATACAGTAATTATTGATATAAGATTAGGAATTATGATAAAAATAGAAAGTGTCAACTTATTAAAAAAAGAGATAGTAAAGTGTCAATCTTGTTATGATATAATTGATAGTATATTTATTAAATTTATATTAATTCTCATCACATCAAGAATTAATATATTAAACACTACTATCACTATTTTTCTAGAAACACAAGAGAGAAAGTATGTGTTAAAGTGAATTTGGAAACATAAAACGTCATAGAAAAATAAGAATAGAAACATAGAAAAGCCTGTTTTAAGTATATATTGCTAGAAACCTGTATATTAGAGCCAAAAATTCAAAGCACATCCATGTATATAGACATATCATGGATATAATTAAAGTTAATACCTTCCAAGTTGTTTTCTATATTTGTAAAAAGAAAAAAGAAAAAAAACCTTCTTTGAAAAGAAAATGCAGGGAAAAATGAAAAATAAAAGGCAATAGGGAAGAATTATAATCCAAACTGTCCATTATATTATTTTTATATTATCAGATAATATCATTATAATGAAAACAAATATAGATATTACAAATCTTTTAAAGATGTGCAGTTAGTTGATGTTTTCTACAAATGTAATTGAACTAAAATTTTATGTCACCATAATAAGCATGTGTCGTGAACATACAAATAAATCCCATGATAAAAACATGGACAACAAATGAAATGATGAAAAACTAAAGGATATACTATCTCAAATTTATTTCTATTTGAGATGTTACACACCCATAGATATGGGTATATCTGTGAATGAATTAGCACACTTAGCTTGTAGATTTTGGAATGTTTCCATCCCAATTAAAAATTCTTTCTTCACTTTCGCCTCACTTTTACACTTCTATGTATCATATTTGTCACTTTATTCATATTCACTTTGGGATTAGTTAATCTAACCTAGAGCTAATTGACATATAAAGCATCATATTCCATGCCCCTAAAAATAATCTAGCAGATTTATCAATATTCACTAGTGTCTTAATAAAATGTGGAATAGAATTTAAGACAATCTTATAATTAAAACTCTTACCTTGCAAGTTGCTGTTGGCAAGATATAGTAATTGGAGGTTGGTCAAATTTCCAATGTCACTTGGAATGATTCCTGGGTTGAACACATTATCACCTAACTCTAACTCTGCTAATTCTTTGCAGTGATGCCAAATGGCAGGTATTTCGCCAGAAAAATCATTTCCATCTACATAAAATAATTCAAGTTTTGGAAGCCCAAGACACACATTTGTTGGGAGAATCCCTGATAATTGATTTTTATCAAGTGCAATGTATTGTAACATTGAACTGTTAAATAATGAAGATGGTATAGAACCAACTAGTTGATTCACTCCAAGATACAACGTCTTTAGTTGTGAAAGATCACCAACCTCATTGGGAATGTCTCCTTGAAATATTAGGAGGGAGAAAAAAGAGCATGTAAGTAACAATTTTATATTGTTATAAAATAAAAGCATATATAGTATGAAAAAAAAAAACACAAATATATTCCAAACGATTGAACACAACTACAATTATTTTAAAACAAGAATTACCGTGCATGAAATTATTTGGATATGTAGGATAACGTATTGGGCCCATTACATTGTTTTATGCTTTAGTTTGGTTTATTATTTTACTTCGTTTCATATCACAAGATATATGAAATCAGAATAATTTAATTTAGATTTAATACTGTTATCTGAATGTAGAATAATTATTTTTGGCAAAATTCCTATATATCTTGTAAGATGTATCCGACTCATTCAAGAAATTAGATTCCAAGTTCCTTCAATTAGCTATGATAAAAAAACTCTAAGAAACACATTGAAGTCTGATTTGGCCTTTGCTTTTCACCATTCCTATCAAAACACATTTGTTGGGAGACTCAAAAAAATCATTTTTGCTAACTACAAGCTTTTTAAAATTTAAAATTAAAATATAATTTAAATTATCCAAATCAAAATTAAATGTTCCAAATTTGTGCCTGGTAAGGGTTACTCATTTTTTTTAAATGAAAAACAAACCATTCAAAAATTTTTTAACGAAAGAATAATAAACATTTATTTTGAATCACTGATTTTAGATATGTTTGGACCATAATTATAACAGTATTATTTTTCCCATGGTGTGACTTTATTAACTTAATTTATCAAAAATTGGATGCCAATTTTTTTAAAAAAAGAGATCAGAAAAAAATGCTGGCAAAACATAAAAGAAATGTACATAAATTTAAAAGAAAAACAGAAATTCAGACAAACCTAGATTCCTCCATGATAATATCCTGCCAACCTAATATAGAGGAAAGACAAATACAGAAACTTAAAATAATCCAAACCATACCTGAAAAAGTATTATAAGACAAATGCAATAACTCAAGTGAAGATAAATTGGAAATTGTTTGAGAAATGATTCCTAAAAGTTTGTTTCTCGAAAGTCTTAAAATCTTCAAGCGCTCAAGTCTTCCTATCTCAACAGGAATGGTTCCTTCAATTAAATTAGAATTCCAATCTAATATTTCCAACCTTGTTAGATTGAATAGAGATGGTGGAATAGATCCATCAAAAGTGTTATTTTGAAGATTTAAGTGCTCCAATGTAGATAAATCTCCTATCCATGTTGGAACTTGTCCATGAAAGTCATTGTAACTCAGATTGAATAGTCTCAATCGATGTAATTTAACTAACTCTGCTGGAATTTGACCATTCAAGTTGTTGTTACTGAGATCAACTTCAACAAGAAATGAAAGATTTCCCAGTTGTGGAGATATGGTGCCTTTAAGATCCATGCCAGCAAGCTTCAAGGAATGGACCCTTACATGATGAGCATTAATGCAGGTAACACCAACCCAATTGCATGGAGAAGAAGAGACAGACCAATTAGCTAAGAAATTGTATGGATCTGAAGTGATAGATGATTTAAAGGCAAGAAGTGCATATTTGTCGGTGGTGATGTTTGTATCAGTCAAAGCTAAGGAAGTCATGAGGTACTGAAGTAACAAGAGGAGAACAAAGGAAGAAGGTTTTGCCATGTTTAACATATCAGACTTATTAAAATTGCAAGTCTTGTGCATGAATTAGCACCCATTTTATACTTCTACAATTCCAAATCAAGTCAATACAAGGCAAATCGTTCATATAAGACAACGTATTATACATATATACATATATATAGAGAGAGAGAGAGAGATATGGTGGGAACCATGTCCAATTATATCTGTGTACTTAATTGAATGAAGGTTTAATTGATTAAGTTTGACTAAAATGTTTATTATTCTATGCGGACTTAAACAAAAAGATAAAACATATTTCATAATTGGTATTAGTTACAGACTTTCGAATTAGAAAAGCGACATAACTGGTGGCATTAATCAATAAAAAATAATCTGAATAAAAAAAATAAGAAAAAGTCCATTAGAAAAAGTAGGACACCATACTATCCCAATTAACTTTCCAATCAAAACCAAATTAAATTATAAAATATTTATCTAATAATGTACACAATAACATGGGAAGTTGGTAACAAAACAAAGATTTGATTGCCAAAGCTTATTTTGTTAACATTTCTTGTTGAATACTGAAAGGATTATTCTTTGTTCTTATTTCTATTTCCATCAACAGTATTCTATCCCAATAAAACAGAAGAATCAATAAAATGAGTTAAAGAGATTATATTATTATTTTTTATTTTAGAGTGCAAAAGAGATTGCATGATTGAAGTTGACGGTGATAACAAAAAATAAATAAACTATAAAAGAAAAATGAGACACGTGCATTGCAAACTAAACAAAGTTATATAAAAGCTCCCCTATAAGTGAGAAGTTGTGGGCTTGATCTCACTTATAACTTCAAATCATGTAACTTAGACCATTAGTATTTGTCCTTGTAATTCAAAAAAGAAAAAAAAACAATGTTATACAAAAGATAATTATTAAATGTTAAAGTGTTAGAAATTATCATATGAATTTTTTTTTAGATATCTATCTTGTATCCTCGATCCAAAAAAAAAAAAAATCTATCTTATATCCAACAGGATCTCCTAGTATTCCAGAACAAACTTTAACAAACATCATGCATGTTTCCCCAAAAGTGGATAACTATATTTTATTATAATTTATAAATAATTTTCATTTTTTGGAGATTAAAAAAATGCCAAAAATCATATAACAGGAGTTAGGTCCAATAAAAGAGACTAATTTCTCATAACGTGGTGAACTAATCTTGAATTTCAATTTGAAGACATGCCTACAATATGAGTATCTCCAATAAGAGAATACATATGTACAAAAAAAATTAGAAGTGTTTTTTTTTATAATTTTTTGACATTCTCAAACCTTAATTTATACTACCTTCATCCCAAACTATAAGATACTTTTGAGAGAAATCTGACATTTCAAAATATAAGACACTTTGACAAAAATAAAGTTTTATTAATGATGCTTTTGCAATATTACCCTTTTCATATATTTTCTCTCCTTAACATTCTTTAATAAATGAGTATTAAATGAAGGGCATTTTTGAAAGTTTGTATTTTTATTTTAAAAAAGCAAGGTTACAAATTCTATTTAATAAACTTTATTTGTATTCGTGATTTTATCTAAATATGCCTTATATATAATTTGGGATGAAGTGAGTTTATCGTATCATCATATTTATTTATTTTTTATTTGCAATTATGAAAATATCCAAATCTTCAAACGCAGAGAGCTTCTCTTTCTAGGTTTTTTTTTTTTTGAATTGATCGATGATTAGATAATTAATTGAAACTTAATTGACTACTGGAGTGGACTTGACGTCACAACTCACAAGCTTGATATTTTCTAAATCCTTGAAAGTGTGTATGTTTGATTGGTTATTATGAATTTAGGAAAGGCCTCAAATATATCTTCTTCTTTTAAGAAAAAAATAATTATCAAAGATTGAAATTTTATTTTTTCCCGTAGAAGAAGTTGATGCAATAGAAGAGAGAAAAAATTGCGTGTTGTGTATATATAATTGCTTCCATTATCACATTGATTAAAGACCGAGACCAACAGTTTTATTTTGGCTTCATTATTTCATTTATGGTCATGTGTGGCAGGTATTAAAAGGAAGTTTACATGGATGCATTGTTCCTTTAATTACATATTTCTTTTTGTTTTGTTTTTTGGGTGAGAGGGTAATTCATTTCTTCATTACTTGACATTTATAATTTTATGGAGATAGAAATTCCACTATCTATAAAATGCTTGATTATTTTGACATGAGATTTAAACAGATGAAAAAAATTCGTGTGTGTTTTCCCTCATTCTCATCATTACACGTGGCTAATTCAATTAATAATATTTATATTATTATAAGCTGGTAGATAATTCAAGGCACTAATATTTGGTCAAAAAAAAAGCACTAACTACATAATTTGATACATACGAATTTATTGAAATCATAATTATTTGATAAAAAATTTGCGAGATACACATATTCTCACTTTGACTGGGTTAAAAAAAATGTTAGTATTATCATTGTATTATTTAATTTGGAGACAAGTCTGGAAGGCCTTATAGTCAGAATCAATTATGGAAAAACAAATTTTTCGAATATTTGTGGACATTAAGTAGCCCCACATTAATATCACTTGTTAGACTATATTTTCATTTTCATTGCTTAATTTATTTATATATGGTCAAGTTTGGTAGGCCTTATAAAAAGGGTGCCCCACAAGAACGTTAATTGTGGGAAGACTTGTGATTAGCCATAAAAAAATCTTTGATTGGATATCATAATTCTTCAGACTTAGATTGGATATCTATCACCCATTTGTATGTTATATGGTGAATGTCGTGCTTGACTTGTGAGCAGGCATCAACGTCATGCTCTATTTCACAAATAAAAATACCACTTAATTAACATTGAAAATGCAGTTTTCCATAAATTATTATATATATGATGTATATTGGTGACTCTAGAAATTAAAGAAGGTATATACAACAATTAACAAAAATAAAAGTAAAGCACATCATAATTAACATGGAAACACTTAAAAGTTACGCTGTACAATTTTCATTGAGTGAGTCTAAAAATAGAAGTTATATAATATATATATTAATTTTATATGATACATTCATCATATCTGATTACTTAAATTAATTGCTTCTAATGTACCTTAAGGCGTGAGATCAAACCTTATTATATTAATTAAATTATATAGGAATGATCCCAAATCAGTTTTCTTATTTACATATGCAAAAGCTCCATTTAGTGCATTATTTGTGGGAGAGTTTGATGTGCACATAGAATTAAATTTGTGAAAGATTTTGTTAATGAGAACAAAACCTCACAAAGTTATGTGCTTGGGTTAAACAATTATACATACATACATACCTACCTCCCTACCTACCTACCTATTGTAATATTCTTTATGTTATTCTTAATGGCGTAGCCTTGGAGTATTCAAAGTCTCATGTGTACAGGGAGTTCATGTATATATGATATTTATCAAACCTAACTTGTTATTTATGAGGTTTAATAATAATTAATAAGTCCTTATATCTTCTTTTTTATGGATTTAGATGAATGTCATATTATCTTTTTTTAACATTCTTAAAGTTTAACTTACATATAAACATTTCAGATTTATTTTATACATTTTTTGCGTTTATAAAAATAACCAAAGTGTTCAAACGCTGAGTGTCTATCTTTCTAAGCTCTTTATTTTAATAATTTTGAATTAAATGGATACTCATATAAGCTTGGCTTACGAAGGGGACATGAAGCCTCATGTATGTGAAGATCCTTTTTTTTTTTTTTTTTTTTTGTTTTTGCTTTAATCAAAAAGACTCATCCACTCACTTGTGTGGTTTGACAAAATTGCTTAAATAAAATGAAACTGAAGATTCTTTACTTTCTAATGCATTGGAAAGTATAGTTTACGGCATGCTTGACTTGTCATTTGATTAAAGACAAAAATAACTATCAAAGATTAAAAGTGGTCCTCTAAACGATGTGATAAAAGAGACAGAAAATTATGTGTTGGATAATTTTTTCCGTTAGTGAGAAGAACCTTTGTCCCCTTATTACTCAACATGGTGGAAATTTGAAATAAATGACAGCTGTAAAAATAGGATATAATGAAGCCTAATGCACAATCATATTCATTCTAGTCCTTTTGCCCAAAAAAGAAAAATCATTCCAATCACTCCCTTTCAATTCATAAAATTTTTTTTCCTTGTTTATATAATTAGAAGAGTTAGTAATTATATTAATTATCATTGAAGATAATATGTCAACAATATGAATTTTTTTTTGGACGGGGCAGATTGGATTCTGATGACACAAACGAGTGTATGGTTATTTAATAATATTTATTATTTTAATTAAGTTGGGCTTTTCGTATAAAGCCTAGTAATTCTTGGAAAAACTCTTATAAACAAAAAAAAAAAACTCCTAAACTATCATTGAAACAAAGAAAAGTATGGTTTTAAAAATCCTTGGACAGAAATTTTGAGTGACGTTGGCCATCAAAATAACAAAAAGATTACAAATATGTTAAAAATGTCTAATTTCTAACCTCCAAAAACTTACAGAGAATGTCGATGGTTTCAAGAAGATCAACATGTTTTAACAGTTTGTAAAATGGATAGGTAGGGACGTTTTAATGGTTATACTATATATATAGAATAAACTATCTATACATTCATTATCCCTCTATTCTTATGAAGAACAGTAATTAATTTCAACGTGTTTTTTTTTTTTTTTGCCAACAATTCCAACGTAAGGTTAGTAGTAAAACCAGTAGCTCATTATCCAAGTTTTATTTCTCCATATTTATCACCTTCATTTAATATAATGACTTAAAACTAAAGTAAAACGAATAGTTTAGAAACATAAAAAGTAAAGCTTAAAACATAAAATAATTACAAAGCGTGCAAAATTAATTGTGATTTTGACCCTTTTAATAAAAAGGACTCATCCATTCACCTCAAATGTATAGGCATATAGTGTTATTGACTTTTCAAAGATAAAAATTTATCTCCTAAAAGAAGTTGATGTGATG